GTTATTCAGGCAATCCGTCCAACACACTACGCGACAAAGGAGTCACATTCCTAACTAGAGGACAAAGGAATAAAGGGGTGAAACAAGCCACTAAAGGACAGAGACAATCGCCTCGCACCACCCAGGAACGTGGCCTGACGTGGAAGTGCGGCGCCTTGACTCCCAATGATTACTATAAATATCTGTGTAACCCTCAAAAAAAGGGATCCAATTTCTTCTCACCGAACCCCTTGTGTAAAAGCTCTCGTGCACTTTACTATATTTAAATAACAATTGAGCTACATGTGTTTCCACCTACAGTCCTCCCGATTAATTTATGTGTTTTTATCTTTTTATTGTCTTTTTAAACAATCTTATACCCGATCTAGTACTATTTACCGATTAAGTAATTTACATTATCAATGGGTACGGATTTGGATTCAGATTAGAGTGTCGAAGGACTCGAAGGTAATAATCTATTCTACATTTGAGCCCATTCAACTTTCTTTCTTTTCTTTTTGGAAATTCAAATTCACCTTTTCAAAATTTAATTCCGCATGGAAAAATGGGGATGAAAGTGTCATTTTGTGGCAGGGGATTATTTGTTTGTCTTTGTTGAGTACTGTAGCCATTCTCATTGGAGTTTGAAGTACTGCGTCGGGACTCGGGCTTTCAAAGTCCCCGATTAATTTACGTCATTGCCCCCATTTGCCCTTGGCAATATGTTTCAAAAGAATGAAAATCTCCTCTATAAAAGTAAAAAAAATGAAAATGTTAGGAGTATAATGGTATAGCAGTATGATTAGTCAAAAAAATGAAAAAATTATAATAGTGTAATATAGCACTATGATCAGTCCATTATCGGTGATTCGCGACGGATGCTAGTGTGCAAAGATAGTGTGACAGTTGAAGTGTGACAATGTGATGAATGTTGCAGTGTAACAATAAGAGTGTGACTCGTATTCTGATTTTAAAAGAATTATACTCCCTCCGTCCCCCTAAGATCTTCTCGTTTTGATTTTTTGCGGTTTTTAAGGAGAGTTGAAAAAAGGTGAAAGTTTACTAAAATACCCTTAATGAAAATGAGTGGGGTGTATTAAATAAGGTGGAAAAGATGTAATAAATAAAGTAAGTGGGGGTAGTTGTGGTATTTTAAATGTTAAAAAAGGTAATGAGAAGATCTATGTGGGACAAATAAAAAGGGTTAATGGGAAGATCTATGGGGGACGGAGGGAGTAACTTCTATTTTGGAGTTTTATAATTTTTTTATCCAGGGAGTTTTCACATATTTCAACACGGTTGATTCTTTTAGGACAAGGTTATAGTGACACCCATTTTTGAGTAATTTGAGTGTGATATTATAACACTCACTCAAATTAGGATTCAAACGTGACTTGTTCGAAAAGTGGATATTCTTATCTAACTTAACTCTCTAAGGAACCCTCACATTCGGTCCAACCCAACTCACCCCGGCCCCGTCAATAGACAATAGCACTCCCAAAAATTAGTTGACTTTAAAGTCAAATGATATTTCATAGTTCTTACCCCATCTAACCCCATCCCTTTCGGTCAGTCGGTCTGACCCAAATCCACCCCACCCTTACAAATGCACTTCCAAAAATTAGTTGACTTTATTTTAGTGCTTTTCTTCTAAAATAAATTTCTCTTTTTATTTTTTGATTACATAAAAATTAGGTTCTCATTCTCTCTATGAAATGGAATAAGTGGTCACACTAATTCTCTGCCTCTACATAAATTTTTAAACTATTGTCACTTTCTTAATTTACATTAAAACTTTTAAATAGAATGACACACCTATGGCTACACAAAAATGCCAGTCCGATATTATTCTGAACTGGACCAACATTGTACCGAACCAAAAAGTAGATTTTCAAATGATTTTAGTAAATCACATCAACGGTCCAAAATGTGGAATCGCTCACCCCATGCGCCCCCACCCCTTGGCCCGAGATGGTGGAGGAAGTAAATCATGGTGACTCAGTCGGCCAAAAACGCTGGACACGTGCCCACCGCGCACAATGAGCCTCCTCACCCTTTATGAGATTTTTGGATAGCTCCCACACTGCCGCTTGCGGGACTCGATCCCTGGTCATCGGTCCAATATTTCACGTTCTTGACCAACTGAGCTGCCCATGCAGGCTAGTAAATTACATCAAGAATCAAATTGAATCGTTTTCAAAATGGTACGGAACGTGTTTCTAAGAAAGAAATCACCCATTCACCCCAAGTAGAAGTAAAATATAACTCTTGTCCTCAAAGTAGGAGTTGCATATTTTTATTTCCGAAATAAAAATTTGCATTGTGATATTCTGACACTGTATATTGTCATTCTACAATATTTTTTTGGTATTATATGTTGACATTATTAGCACTGTAACTTTATTTAGGGGATAAAAACATGAAACTCTTGTTTTGATATTTTTTTCTATATTTAACTATTATTTTAATAATTTTCCCATCTTAAAAATAAAAACTGAAAAATTTCAAACCGTGGGCACTTAAAGGTTACTCCAATATCAATAAATTGACTATACGTCTTCATTTGTTATTTTTTTAGTAACTTTGAGATATATTTATTTGGTGTGATTTTAACAAACTTAAACTTATGTTTTTATAATACTTTATTACTCCAGAGTATAATTTGGTGCACCAATTTTTTTGAATTACGTCGATTGTTTTTATACATAAAAATAATTTCAAAGCGTCGAGGTATTGTTATATGATTTGACTGACATTAGACATTAGTATGATATTGTACCATCCGGTTTCTGAACGACACTGCATCGAATGAGCTTAGGCGTAAAATAAAATCGTACTGAAACGTTTGAATAGTAACAGTATGATACATGTTCTATAAATTACCGAACCGTCACGGCCCGTGCCCACCTCTAGACACACCTTACAAAAATTCTAAATAGACACCAGTCTTGCCAACTGCACAACGCTCACCGCATTGAATTGACACGAAAGAATAGACATGATCCACACCATATAACCTAAGACACATAACCTTACCTATTTTTAAAATAAAGGTCTGTTCCCAATTGTGCAGAAGTACAGAACTACCCCTTTATTTAAATTTTCTTTTGGTTAGGGACTTGGGGTACATTCCCACAGCTTTGTTTACTGCACTGTAAATTTTCCCCATTTTTTTCTGACCACATTAACTGACTGCACTCTGCAATGCCATATTATATATATATGTTGTCAGTTTCTCACATGAAATCCCATTTACTTCAATTCCCCCCTTTTTTTCTTTTTGAAATAAACATCCACTTCTTAAAACTCCAAAAATTACGGAGAATAAGGAATTTTTTTTACATATTTTTAAATTTAAAATGTCCACCCACTCTTAAATTTAAATTTTTATATTTTTTTTTCACAAGATTTAAGAAAAGTAAATTGTGATCAAGAAAAGTTTAGCGTGCGACAAAGAAAATATTAAAATTTGATGGTATATACAAAGTATATTACAAGTATTATTCGTTTCGTCTCAAAATAAAAGATACCATTCTTATTCACATAATCAAGTTATATTTCTATCTTCATTACATATTTTCGTGTGTATACTGTTTTATTTGACCAAATAATATAGACTTGTCCTTTTTTTGCATATTTTTTATTTACTTTTTCAGTATTTAAAATGTGTTCTGTATTTTTATTTATAAATTAATTTCAAAATAAATTGAATGAAAAATAAATCTTATAAATTGAATGAAAAATAAATCTTTTATTTATAAATTATTTTTGGGACAAAAGAAGCATATCTTACTCCTACTTAAGTTTATAAATTAGATTATTTAGGCCATTTTGTAACAATGTTTGTGATGAGGGCTAGCATTTCCAATAATTTTTAATAGTTAGATTAATTTTCAAATTACAATGCTTAAAACTACTGCTATGTATGAATTTGGATAACATTTTTAAAATGATAAAATGAAGCTTAAAATCAATGCTAATTGCTATATAGAGTTCCTACTCGGCAGCCCTTTTACTCATAGGTCATAAGTAGGGTGTGTTTGATAAGTAGTATTTAGCTTATAAGCTATTTATAAGTTAAATACTCTTTTGTGAAGAAGTTAAAAGACTTAAATGAGAGATGATTCATTTGAGAATATTTATAAAAGTTGAGAGATAGTTTTCTGAATAATCCGATCAAAACGAAGAAATAAAAAATTGACTTAAAAAAAAAGCAAGACATACATATTTTTGACGTATAAGCAACTTATAAATCAGTTTATAAACACAGAGAAACACGTCAACATATGACTTATAAATTAAAAACAACTTATAAGTAATTTTGACCACCTTATAGGTACAAAAAAACACCTACTTAATCAATTCCATATCTCTATCCGAATCCGGATCTAGAAAAACGCTCCATACCCGTTAGATTGTTTCGGGTTCGGGTCCAAACCTGACCCATTGATAGACCTAGGTTTGGCAATAGCCTATTTTCCATGCCTAATTGACTTTCTGTGCAAATACCCAGAATTCTGTTTTATTACCCAGCAGGTAAAAACTAAAAACTCCAAATATCATTCACCCATCATTTTTGTGTTTTGTTTTAAAAGGAAAGTTTCAAAGATGACCTCTTTTTATAGGAAAGGTTTTGGGTCTTAGCAATTTATTACTCTAGGACCTATTTGTGCCCACAAGGCCTAATTTACCACGGTTGCAGTTTTTTAATGTTAAAAAAAGTAAAAATAATTTTTTTACAGCGATCAACATCGAGAACTTTTTTTCCTTTGTGTACTTGTATTTTTTTATAGTACTGGTAGTTTACCGAACTACCCATCAATATGCATTTCAAAATTTCAAATGGAGAGAATGTAAAACCGTAAAACCACTTCAAATTGTCAAATTATACGGAGTACTGGACATCCTATATATATATATATATATATATATATATATATATATATATATATAAACAATGTTGTGATGTGCAATTGTGCACATTCAAAAAAATAAATGTCATGCTCTAAGAACTATTTATCTTAGAGAACAAATCCTAACTTGTTTTTGTACAAGTGTCATGTTCAAATCACACACCAACACCACAGATGACACTGCAATAGTGTCTCACAAACAAATACTCCGTACTATACTGTCTGTTTGTGATTGTCTCTAATGGGCGTCAACGTTGGTGTCATCACTGGGGTTAAAGTAGCATTTTTCCTCTATACAAGCAGGGGAGAAACAAAGAAATGTGATGTTACCGACGTTAGTGTGGCTTGTTGATAGCGGGCTCCACTCGGACGAGATCACCAAAAACGCTACAATTCCATCTTTAGATGTAATATATGTATGAATATATGCGCGATATATACTGTACAACTGGTTGTACGGTATTTCCCGTACATCCACGGTGGGTACTCATTTAGGAGTAATTGAACACACATTTTTGAGCTACTGAATACTCATTTTTTATACTCAAATTTCTAAAATTTAGTTATGCTAAAAAATGAGTATTCAGTTATTTGAAAATGAGTATTTTGCTACTCGAAAATGAGTATTCTGTGACTCGAAAATGAGTATTCAAGCGGATGTAGATGAAACATCATACATCCGGATGTATGGTATAGATACTCGTATATATGTAGCAGCAGGAGTGCATTTATTACAGCAACAGTTCCTCGTCGTCCTGCAGCTGCTTGAGCCGCCGTTTTGCATAGACTGTGATTAGTACAGTTGTGGCCACCGTGAGACAGAACCCAAAAACATTGAAAATGATCTGCGGAGCTGACAGGGAACGTTGGTCATGCGAAGCATTCGCCAATGTCTTTATCAGAATGCCACTGGGAAACAGGAAAAAAAAAAGGATGGTCTTATTATGAGTTTCATGGATGTGGATCGTATAAATTGAAGTTTGGATCTAACACAACCTAAAAGGGTCTTCTATAGGTAGAGTTCACCTCATAATTATATACCGGTCGCAAACTAGGTGAATAAAGGATGTGGGATACAACGGCTAGACAAGAAGGGTGCAAAGTCCCAATCTACCCCTTAAAGGACTACCCCGAGCCATGGAGTGGGCGGGTACCCTACAGCTTGGCAGCAGACGGGTACCCTAAAACTTGTCATCCCCTACTACAACATAGAGAGGTTGTTTCCAACAGACTGCCAGCTCAAATAAAAAAGAACATGCAAGCAGAATCAACAGAAAGATCAACAGGAAGATCAGGCAAGCAGATCACGTTAGCACAAACGAAGCACATAAGTATGGGTAAAAAGCAAAGAGCCTATGACCAAAGGCAAAGAGACATGCCAGCCAGAAATATGACCTAAAGCTCCCAGGACTACCCAATTACTTTGATCACTCCATTATAATATAAACAACAACAAAGAAATGTGGAAACAAACACTTGTTTCAACATCCAAGTGCCCTCCATCAACAAGATTAACAAATTTCATAATCTTCAACAATTATGACACCCTAGCAATGGTATGACCTAGTCATGATATTGTAATATTTCCAGAATCTATCAAGCCGAAGGCAGAAAATCAAACATTTTGCTATGTTATTGATCTCTCATAATAGTTTGATTACTGCATGATACTACTCCCCAGTCATCATGTACGTTCAACAGCTATTTGCACAGAGAATTTGGCAGGTTTGTTCAATCTCCAACTAAAGTACTCCGTATCAAACAATAGAGTAAAAGTTAAGGTGAAACAAAGCAGGAATGTGATTTTACTTAGGGAGTGCTTGGTTCACACTTCACAGGATGTTATATTACTTATTTCATTAAATGATTAGGGGACAAATTAAGAATAGTATAAAATACAATCTCAATAACTTACAACACCCAATAAACCCCGATATAATCACATTACTCCCCACATTGCTCCATTTCCAAAACGGAGGTAATCTCATCTTACTATAAACCATGTGGCATCTAAAAACATGAACCTGAAAGGCAATCACAAATACCCTTTCTCACATTATCAAGATAATGTGAGATTGCCTAAACCAAATGTCCCTGGTTATTTGCACATACGCTTCTTAGCATGTATGTAAATAACTGGTATGAGAAATTTGTATAGCACATGCAAGAGAGAGAGAGAGAGAGAGAGAGCTCACGTATAAATAGCAACAAATATCTCTGGCAACATGCCAATCAGAGAACCCAGCAAATAGGGTACATACTTTACTCCTGTAGCAGTTGCACAGTAATTATATACGATGTATGGAAAAGGAGATATTCTGATCAATGCCACAGCTCGAAATTGATTAAAACAGTCCCCTTCCCCCGCTAGTTTAATCATTGAAGCATGTTTTGGGTACCTTTCTAGAAATCCCTGGGAAGAAAGGAAAAAATAATAATAAACACACAGCCACACCTGCAAAGAGTTCAATGAATCAATCCACCGCATACAGGATATAGATGTTACTTGGATTCTGCGGCGGAAAAGGTATCCTGCGAAATATGGAAGTGATACCCCAATAGCTGCACCTCCAATTATTAGTAGAAATCCATACCCATATCCAAAAGTCATTCCTGCCGCCCACATGGAGGGTGTAGAAGGCAAAAGCAAAGCAGGAAAAAGTGATACCGAAGAAAAAACTAAAACTGCTAGAACTGGTGTACTGAAAGTTTTCATCTCCCAATTAATTATGGGGATGATTTCCTAAAATCACAAGAATTTGATTAGAAAGGAGCATAAAGCAAACCCACGACTAGTTTTGAAACCACGATTTGATTAACAAGAACTCAAGATAGAATCATAGAAATGTAATAATAATCTAACACATGTTTTTCAAATTATCAAGCAAAATATATCTGATTTCTACAGAAAGAAGTGTACGAGTTCAAGTGAAATATGCAAAAATGAGTTTGAACCTGATGCCTAAGCATTGAAATTAAAGAATTCAAGTGAAATATGCAGAGAGTAGTTCAAATCGCATTCGACTAAGAGTGCAAATTTCAACCCAATAATATTATGTTACACATGCAAAGTGATTTTTCTTTTCTCATTTGATTCATTTCCCCTCTTTACAACGGTATACATGGTTCTATATCATTGGGGTGTAATTTGCACTCTCAAGTCTCACCTTGAGAGACTCGAGAGTGCACATTGCAATATTGCTTTTCTCCTAGCAACATTTATCATACACTACTTACCTTCAAGACACATGGTCCAACAACAATGAAAGTCTTTATGAAGAAAGCTCGATTCACATAACATACAAAATACTTCTAATTCCACTTCTAAAAAGAACACATCTTCAATGAAATACAACATTAATGTCAATTTGATTCCTACAATTTCAGAAACATTGACACAACGGTTGGAATATACTGCTGTGGATCTCAATTTTAATATACTGTAACAAAAATGGAAAGCTGACCTTATCCATGAAGAAGGGCCCGACCCATATGAGAAAAACGGCGGCCAGAATCCCAACAAAGACAAGCAAGAGGAGCAGCTTGGCCCACCACCACAAGGACCACCACCACCGCCCACCGACCTCACATGCCCCCGCCGCCTCGGAAGACGCCGGAGATTCCCGGACGATGCAGTCCCCGCAGCTCTCCTCCAATTCATCGTTCCTCAATTTCACATAATACGCCCCATTGCGATCCCCGGCAGGCTGCTTCGCAGCGACGGCCTCCTCCCCGGCAGCAAACGTCATCATCTGCGAACAAATCCCCGGCAGTTCACGCCACGGGGAGCCGAATCACGGCCGAGACAGCCCGCAACCTTTTTACAGAAACAGGGGACGAGTATATTCCCCGAGCATCAATTGGGTGTAAAATTACTGCGGGGAAATGGAAGATCGTGAAAGCTGGAAGGAAATATGATTCGATATCATTCGGCAGGAGACGATTTCGTGTACGGCTGGCGAGCACGATGCATTTCTTTTGTTGTTGCTTGAAACAATGGCGGATGGGAGAGGTGGGGTTTTTTTTAATTATCGTATACTCCTCCCTTAATTATTTATTTAGTACGGCTAACTTAAAAAAATGAGTCCTTATTTAGTTATTTAGTCCTTAATTATCGTATACTTTCTCCCCATTCAAGAAGAGTTGATTGTTGTTTACGAGAATTGATAGATTTATTTTGAATTTAGTTTATTTTTAAAAAAAAATTATGAAATAAAAAATAAAATTTATTTATTTAAAAACTATATAAAAAATTCTACGAAATGAGATTTGACAAAACTATACTAATTTCTTAAATGAGTCGTGAAAATGGGCCAGAAATGTCGTTAATAAAGTTTGACTATTTAAATAGTAAACAGACAACCTAAATTGATACGGAAGAAATGACTCCGTCTCAAAAAAGTTTTCAAGTTTCAATTATTTTAATGAAACATTGACATTTTTTTAGTTCAAATTGTAAAAAAAGGTGCATTTCATTATAATGTGAATCTATGCTAGAGAAAGAAGAAGGGCGCGCGATTGAAGTAGGAAAGTGTTAAAGACAGAAGAAAGAAGCGGGATTGAAGAAGAAAATCGAATCCCTTTGGAATTAGGTTTAGTATCTTTCCTAGTTGGATTATATTAGTATTTAGTATCTTTCCTAGTTTGTTTAATTATTATTTTAATAAGAATAGAAATTTTCTTGTTTACTTTACCCTCTTCTTATATAAAGAGGGTTAGATTTTTGTATTCAAAACCAGAATTCACAAGCCAGTTCAATATACAAACTATTTTCTCTCTTATTTTCTACAATCTAACATATATAATTAGATTTATTTTAGAATATAGTTTTGATATATCAAATTTTTATAATATTTATATATATAATTTATGTTTATTTTATAATCGGAGAGTGTCAAAGTTAGACAATAAAAAAATCAAAACATGAAGGTTTTCAAAGACAGAGAGGGTATTTTCGATGATTAGTGTTGTTAGGTCCCCACTCCAAACAAATGAAAGAAAAAGAAAAAAAAAGAGCACACAATTTTTAACGTGGTTCGACACCTCAAGACCTACTCCACGACCTCCTCTGGGATAAAATCTCACTAGTAATTTTTGCACGGAAAAATTACAAACCCTCTCCAATATTTGACACTCACAACCTAAAATCTAATACACAATTATATAGATTGAAAGATTGTGTTGTGTAATGGAAGCCTATATCTCCTCTTTATTTATAGGCTCCAATCCCTCCTCAATTTTCCTATCCCACCGATGTGGGACTTTGAAGTAACACTCAACAAATCTCCCCTTAATTCAAAGTCCTACATCATTTGCGATTTATGCAGCGATACTCCCATCCTGCAGAATCTTCTGTCCAGCAGTACTCTTATCTTCAGAAGAGATCATCTTCATAAGTGATCACATTTGCGGAAGAAGCTTCCTTCGATTTGCCCTTCTTCTCCTTTAGGATCTGCAAGTCCTCCTTGAGTTCTGGACAACCGTTCTTCGTGTGACCCAACTTTTCACAGTAATAGCACCTAACAGTGCTCATGTCTCTCAGATGCGATCTTCTCCCAAGTTGGTCACTCTTCTTCTTCCTCCCTTTCTCAACACTCACAGCAGCTAGTAAATGATTGTCCCTGGAAGACTCTTCACCTCCCATCATCCTTTGACTCTCCTTCAAGGCAGTCGTCACCTCATCTAGTCGCAGTGTAGTCCTTCCTGCTATCATTGACTGCACAAACGGCTTAAAGGATTTTGGTAGTGAAGCCAGTAGAAGCAGCNGATGTCTCTTTCAGCACTGTCACTTTAATCTGTGGGGACAGTGCCAACCGAATTGTGCTGACAGCCTTCTTCTGGATTGTACTCCACTCTGATTCTTTCATATCACTTGGCTTCTCATCTTGCAATGCTAAATCAAGACCTTGCTGGACCAAATAGTCTTGAATCGTGCATTGCCACAACATGAAGTCCGCTCTTCCATCAAATAACGGAACTTCAAACTTCAAGGTAGTCATAGTTCCACTCAAGCAGCGATCAACCAATACCAAACAATCCAAATTTGAGGAAACTGGCCTCAAAAATGGATTCAGGACGTCAAAATTAGTCAGAACCAACTTCTCTCCGAAAGTCACCAGCGGGACCCACACAATGACTGGACCTGCTGACGTGGCAATGGGACCCACTGATGACTGGACTCGCTGACGTGGTGCTGACTGGATGATGACGTGGCACTCGGACCCACAAACTGCTGACGTGGCACTCACGGACTCACCTCTGCTGACTGGACCACCACCTCCTCCGCTGAAGTGGCACTCCCTCCTCTTGCTCCTTGCTCTATCTCCTTCCTTCCTAGACTGCAACTCTGTAATTAATAATTCTTTTCTGATGTGGAAGATCAGTCAAAGCTGCAACCACAGAGCATACTAAGAATTATAATTACTAGATCACCCGGGCTCTGCACCTTGGCTCTGATACCACTTGTTGGGCCCCCACTACAAATAAATGGAAAGAAAATAAAAGAGAGCACACAATTTTTAACGTGGTTCGACACCTCAAGACCTACTCCACGACCCCCTCTGGGATAAAATCTCACTAGTAATTTTTGCATGGAAAAATTACAAACCCTCTCCAATATTTGACACTCACAACCTAAAATCTAATACACAATTATATAGATTGAAAGATTGTGTTGTGTAATGGAAGCCTATATCTCCTCTTTATTTATAGGCTCCAATCCCTCCTCAATTTTCCTATCCCACCGATGTGGGACTTTGAAGTAACACTCAACAAGTGTTTGGTTTGTGCATAATTTTTTAATTGTGCATATTTATATTATAAATGTTGAAGTTAAATGTTTTTAAATACTTTATCAAAATGCAAAACGAAATACTGAAACTATTGTCAAACATGCCTTCAATTGTTACATTCCTTGATTCAAAATAGTATATTCTTTCTTTTTCTTATAAAGTAAAGATTAATTAAAATTTAAAATTTTGCAAAGTTAAACTTTCTAGATTAAATCAAGCGGGGCACTTCATTCACACTCCTCATAACACAAAAGTACGGAGTAATAAATAACGGTTGTCTTTGTCGTGTATGTGCAAGTTTCTTTTAAATCTACGGAGTATATTTACTTCTAGATATTGTAAGTTTATTTTTAAAAAAAATTTTTATTTTCATATTTGAATTTAATCATTTGATCATGTTTTTCTATTTGTAAATAAAAACTCTTTGACAGAGTGTTATGTCTAATTGAAAAGTTAGTTAAATCGCTGCACTTGATTTGTGTAATTTATCTTTTAACAGTTGAACAAAACAAATTTTGATCACCATCTAAATAATTATTTTGTATTATGTTATTTATTAATAAAATACAATAAACTTTAAAAATATATATTCCAAAATAAATTTGATTGCATTATTTTTTGTCATGGAGTATATAATTTGGTCCAAACTGGTCTAAGACGTACATTGTGACGGAGATGATTTATGACTAATTATTTTCATTATTTTGATAAAAATAAACATACTTAAGATACGAGATATTTCTTTTGTATAACACTCACATGTACACCAAAGTCCAAAAATATTCTAGTGGTTTTTCTTATAAATGGCGTGGCATACATTGAATATGATCAATATAAATGCAAAACAAATTACCAAAATTTGTTACTCAATCTCAAATTTCAACTGAAATGACATACTCTTTCTCCCCTAAAATCAAAGTATGATCCCCCAAGGGCAAAATCCTACTCCCCTCCTCATTCACAATACTAAGACGCTCACACGGATTCACAGACATGCCCACCTCCACCGACCCCATGGTGGGGACGTGAACCTTGTCGAACCCGATCAACTGCTTGAGCGGGGCCTGCTCGTAGCACCGTGGGGCCCTTGAAAACAACATCACGACATCGCTCCCGTCCCTGTACCCCTCGTTCTTCACGGAAACCGTCATCGTGAAAGCCAGCGACTCGCAGTGCGACACTTCGTCTACGAGGACAAATCTCTGGATGTTGTTGCCCCATCTGCTACTGAGGTTTCTACTTCTAGGAGCAGGGTTCTGGTACTCCTGCCCAGACCCAGAGATTTTACTGGATTTGTTGTTATTCGTTGCGGTTGTGTTTTTCTTCGGGGACTCGGATAAGCTGATTCTCGATGGAGCTGATAAGAGGTGTTTGGAGAAGTTGGTGTAGCTTAGTCCGTGCCCGAATTCGTATACTTTTTCTCCGGTGTAGAAGCGGTAGGTTCTTCCGGGATAGTCGCGAGACGGATCGGCCCTCATGTTCATGTCGATCATTGGGACGTCGATGGATGACTCTGGGTACCATGTTACTGATAGTTTTCCACCTACATGGTTATAATAGGATAATGGTGTAATAATATCAAACATATTGGTAAGGAATGAAGTGGTCCTGAGATTTGAACTTGTGACATCATATAGTTTTACTCATATAAGTCTAAGCTTGTGAGCATTATGCAGTTCGCAAGACAAAGGGTTCCCAGTGGTTAGTACTCGAGTTTGATTCTTGTCATTTGCGACAACGATGCTAACCATAAGACCCCTACAAGTACTAAGTGCAAGTTTCGCTCTTTGTCGCCAATCAACAACCAAAACTCAATTTACTTTTTTTCAGTTATCGTCCAACCGACTCTGAGGAGACTCGTGGAAATTAGGTTCATCCTTTTACTCATATCATATCATAAAAGTCTAAAAATGGGATTCTAGATAGACAAGAGTGGAAAGACCAACCGTCTAGAGTCTCTCTTTTAGACTTTTGTGATATGATACGAGTAAAAGGATGAACCTAATCCCCGTGACTCTACTCAGAATCGATCGGACAATCACTCTGGATGGACAAGAGTGGAAAAATGAAGTATCAGACCAAAAAAGAGTGGAAGTGAAGAAGTAATAATATGAAAATAAAGACCTGGATTGTATTCTCCAAAAATGACCTGAGTCAATGCCCTACGGCCCTCCTCGCCAGGGTACCCAATCCAAAGTATACTCCCAACTCTAGGGTCATCCCTAGCGAAGGACACATCCAGAGGACCCCCACCCGTAAGCACCAAAACCAG